AAGGTGGGTGTCTGGGCTGCTGGGGCCAGTGGATATCTTATATGGGTGAGCTGCTGGCGGATTATTGCAGGTGATCATGTAATCGCTAGCGACTTTGGTTTACTCACTGACTTGGTACCCAGGCTTCAGATGTGTGGTGCTGGCAGGGAACTTGTGGGAAGTCACAGAGACTGGCTGGCCTGGGGCTGGTGGAATCCTGCTTATGTTTGCAGTATCTCTGCTGTTCTGGGCAGGGACCAATGGCTTCTAGCACTGAAGATTGCTAAGTGTCTAGGCTCTCTTGCTCCCTCCCTGAGGTGTGAAGTGCTTCTCAACTCTCACCTCACAGGATTGGGGCTGGTGAAGCCCTGCAGACATGCCTGAGACCTCTATTGTTCTGGGCAGAGCCTGTGGCTTCTTGAGCTGGAGGTTGCAAGGTCTCAGGGTCTTGGCTCCCTCCCTGTGATCTGAATGCTTACTTTAACAGTGTTTCCACATGCCACACATGACCAATGATTGTGCCAATGTGTGGGTTACTGCCACATCTAATCTGTGTAATAGCATCAGTAATATGTTCAAGTGATGGCATTTGGGTTTATTTTTGTTAAATATATTTTTTTAAAGATTTATTTATTTTTGCATACAGAACTGGGGTACAAGCCAGAGGTGCAAAGGTGGTGAGAGGATTCACCAGAGACAAAGTAGGGAGCAGAACAGACAGACTGACAAAGTACACTGCTGAGGGGAGCAGCAGGTGGGTCAGGAGAGGTCTGCTGTGCCAAGTGGATCACCTCCAGGGCCAGAAATTTATTTTGCACTGAAACAGCAGCAGCTGGCTTGTAGTGTTGCATCCTAAGCCATTGAGCCACCAGGAAGGGGGGCCCTATTGACAAGTATTCTAAATGAAACGTATAGTTGGATTTTCTTTGTTAAAGGCAAACTATATATATGACATACAAGTATTTTAGAACTACCTTGTCATATTTTTATAAAAGATATTCAAATAATATGATATAAGGGCTATTTCATATTTAAAGAATTCTTTAGCCAAACGAAAGTTGTAATACTGTGATTTGCAGGTACCAGCAGTTCTGGATTTCTGACCACCATTAGTTCCTTGCAGAGAAAATGATTCCTTTGCTGTTGTCATTATTTACTTATAGTAAAAGTAATTAAATTTACTTGCCTTAAGGTAATAAGTACTATGTACTAATGGGAAGGAGTTAAATATTGATGTACAAAAAGTAAAAACTTAGCTGTAGATGGAAAATGAGAAAAATTTTGTCCATTTGAAAGTTAGGTCTTTATCAATACAGACATTAGCATTAAAATAGAAGCAAGGGCAAAATCTTATTCAGAAAATACTTCAAGTAATGTATTTCCAGTTTATGAAATTTCTTCAATATAGTTGCTTTATTACCTTTGGTCAACTGTTGAATCTAGGAGTTGAGGAGATAAATTCTGCCTCGGTTACTATTAGATAGATGCCAATATTGCCATCAACAGTATCTATTACTAGAAAGATTAGCCAAAAATATATTTCATCCTTTGACCTACATGAAAGTGTACAATTTTGTGCTCTAAATGTGGATTATGATGACCAGTGGAACAATTACTGGCTGACTATGTAAAGAAATTTATTAGTCTCAAGTATGCCGAATGTTTATTTGAAATTTTAAATAATGATTATAATGACTATTTTTGGGAAAAATTTTCACATTTACTTTTGTGTGAAAAGTCTAGGACAATGATATTCAGCTCCAGTGACAAACAACTTTTTTTTAAAAAATATTTATTTATACTTACAGAACTGGGGTACAGGCCAGAGGTGTGGTGGGTGAGAAGATTCACCAGAGACAGAGTAGGGAGCAGAAGCAGATGTACTGAAATACACTACGGAGGGGAGCAGCGGGCGGGTCAGGAGAGGTCTGCTGCACCATGAGGGTCAGCTCCCTGGCGGGGGATTAAACTTGTGCTGCAGTGGCTTTGGAGAGCTTCATAATGCGGTGCCTTAGCCCATTGCGCCACCAGGAAGAGCCCAACAAATGACTTTTTAAGAGTCATAACAAATATTTGCTTCATGTCAGGCTAAGATATGAGAATTTTAGATTGTAGATGAAAACTGCACAATGGCAGTATAGCATTAGTTGATAAGAGATAATTTTAAGATTAAGTTTTGTTGATGTTTTTAAATGTAAAACATCTTATATGTTCAACATATATGAAAGACAGATACTGGTGTTTTCACTTGTGTGGAATATATATAACCAAAACACAAACAAAAATTACTCTTAGATTCTGAAAAATATGGTGGCTACTAGAGGGGAAGTGTAATAGGTGGGAGAAATAGATAGGGGTCAACCTGAGAGGGGGAATGGCTCTCCAACTTAGGGGGGGCTTCAGGGAGCACTGCACATAATTGAGGTGTGTGACTGTATTTTTTTTTTTTATTTATTCATACAGAACTGGGGTACAGGCCAGAGGCTCAGGGGCGGTGAGAGGCTTCACCAGAGACAGAGTGGGGAGCAGAACAGGCAGATCGACGAAGTACACTGCTGAGGGGAGCAGCGGGCGGGTCAGGAGAGGTCTGGCTCGCCATGTGGTCTCCTCCGGGGCAGGCGGCAGGCGGGAATCGAACTCATACGGAAGTGGCTTCAGATTCTCAGTGCTGTGCTTTAACCCGCTGCGCCACCAGGGAGGGCCAGTGTGACTGTATTTTTGAAGTTCACATAGAAAAATGGTAAACCAGCAAGATTTTATTTTTTAGAAAAGCTATTACAATGATGGAATTTTATTAATTATGACCACTTGGACTATGGTACATAACTTTTTTTGATGTTTATAGTTTGTGCTTACATAATAATTTGAGAAGTTACTTATTTACCATCTCTTTCTCTCCTGTTGGGCTATAAACTATCCAGGCACTGAGGATTTATTGATAAGTTAATGGGTTGAGTTTCATTGAAATTTTCCCCCTTTCTTTCTGACTACAAACTAGTACCTACTTTTATAAAGCAGGAAAATATTATCACCTCCAGCTATTGCTAATTTTAACATTTTAGCACATTTTTTCTCATGTTTTTACTGAACTTAGTTAACTTAAAGGTTTATTTAACTTTGTGTAGAAGAACTTGGGTGTAGACCAGAGCTGTAATGATGGGATAAGAGGATTCACCAGAGACAGGGTTGGGAACAGAACAAGCAGGTTGACTGAAATACATTGCTGAGGGGAGCAGTGGGTGAGACAGGGGAAGTCTTAGTTCTCTGGCTGGGTTTTGAACTCAGGCTCTAGTGGTAATAACACTAAGACTTAACCTTTAGGCCATCAGGGAGGTCTTTATTGTGTTTAATTAAATTGTTCATACCATTGTTATATGTACAGATTTGTGCCCTACCTGTTTGCTTAATATTAATTTGGAATGATTTATATCACTAAAAAAATTTCATAAACACCATTCAAGATGTCCCTATTTGATTATATTTGATAGAATAATATTTCTTAGTTATCCCAAATTTTACCATTTGTCTTGCTCTTGGGTTTTTTCCACTGTAAGTAATTGTGAACTGAATATTTTTAAATATATTTTCATAGTGCACTTAGGATTTTGTCACTTTTCTAAAGTTTTCTAAAATGGGAATTATTGAGAAATCAAAAAAATGTAAACACTTTTAGAATTTTTAATTATATTGTCAGATTCCTTTGCGGTCACATACCATTTTTGCATTTTTATCAGCTGCAGGTGAGAGGGTCTGCGTTACAACTCCTGGCCAGTATTTAATGTTATTTAAAAAACTTTGTTAATTATAGGGGGGAAAATGGTGTATTGTTGTAGTTAGCATGTCTGTGATTACTAGGGAAATCAAACTTTTCCCCCTAGGTGTTTATTAGCCATTCCCTGTGAGTTTCAATGAGGCTGGCTACTCATAGGCAATGGTGACCTATTTGCTATCTCCAAATCACAGCAGAACATTCCTTGACTATACAGAGTATAGCTTGTATAACAAGGCATGTCTGGGGATGCATAGGCCACTGTTGACCCGATTACGTGACCATCTCCATGGTGGTCTCGGCATACATAACTCTAGAGGCCTGTGATAATATCATAGTTCGCTGACGCAAATGTCTCCTGACCCGTGGTCATAATGTCCTCTTCCCTGTCCCTCATAAAACTTTGTCCTGCATTCTTACCCCACCCTCCAGACTTTATTCCTCATACCATTGTTGAATGATCAGCCTTTTTTAGTCTGTATGCCTTCAATAAATGGCACGAGAACCTCTGCTCAAGTAGCAGTCTTGCCTTGCAAACCTGCTCCACGACTATTGTGTCTCTCATCACATTCCTGCCACAAAGTAGACACAAAGTTCCTGTCACACCAGTTCCCTTTTTTTCTCTCATTTGTGTATGGTTGTCTCTTAGTGTAAACTGTTGGTGTACTTCTTGGGTGAACATTATACTGAACCTAATAAGCTTATGTGTATTATAAGTACATAGATACTTATAAATATACACACATATATAAAATGCCATTTCCCAGTTGTTTTATTATTTTTTTTAATATGCATAGTTCTAAAGGAAATAGTCATCCACATATACTATTATGCTTTGTGACTTTTCCTACTGCTGTCAGTTTAGGAAATTCTCAATTGAGAAATCAGACAAATATTCCCTTTCCCCTGTAGTTTATAAGGGTTTCATATCAAGTATTGTAATTGTATTATTTGTTCTTAAGTGTGTAAACTCTTTGGAATTTATACTGTCTGATATTACATAAAGCTATCAATGTATTGTCAAAAGATAGTTTATATAATGTTATAAAAATTTTGTATAATCCATTATTCCAACACCACCTGTTGACCAATCATATTTTATTTTTAATAAACCATTTCATTTTTATACAGTATGAATACAATACAGTATTAATCTTAGTACAGTTCTCATGTCCTAACCAAAGTGATACAGTGCAACATTATGTAGTTATGTATAATTGTAATTTAACCTTGTTACTGTGCTGCTTTACAGACTGAATATAGAAACTGACACTCCAAGAAAGAGACCAAAAACCAGTTCTTCATCACAAGGGTCCGTTAAACTGCAAGAAACATATTCAGATGATAATCATATTATTTCAGAGAGTCCTTCTTCAAATGGAGTTGAAAAAAATATAAATAAATGTGTAGATTTTAAACTTAGAGATACTAAATTGACAAATGTTAAGAGTAAGCTTGACTGTGGAATTAAAAACCTCAGCAGTCCTAAGATTGCCAAAGATGTGAAACCTAAAGCTGAAGGCCAGGCAAGTGAAAGAAAGTGTCCTCACTTACATGCTAGGAAGGAGATGATGAAAGAACTCAAGAAAGAAAGATATAATAAATTGAGAGACGGTTCTGAAAAATGTACTTTAGAGAAATGCAAGAAGATCCAGTTTTCTCAGGATTGTATTTCCAATAAGATAATTAAAGAGCCCCTCGAATCTAGAAGAAGGAAGATCAGTTTCAAAATCCCAGTAAAGTCCCGTGATACCTTCCAGAAACTTGTAGAAGAAAATGTCTTCACTTTAGATTCCAACAAGTCAGAGACAAAGGAAGAGAAAAAAGAATGCCGAGATAACGCCCATGTTTCATTAAACTTGAGGAAGCACAGAAGTGAACATTTATTTTCAGGTTCCACATATAATCCTACTGTTCATGAATGGGAAGGAAAATACCATTGTGAGCATCGAGAAAGTAGTGGCTCAAGTTCTGGTGAAACCCTAACCCAGGTAAGGTAGTACAAGATGAAGACTACAGGCTTCAGCAGAGTTTTAATGTAGCCAGGCTTGGATTTTTTCTGTTGTTTATTCTGTGTTTGTCTACCTGCCTCTAAACTCAGGTACTATGAAACACCTGAAATTAATATTCTGAATTATTTACTCCTTTACGCAGTATTTTTTTTTTGGTGTTACTGTGTGCTGGGCACTGCAATAAAATAACCTAAGGAGACAGCAGTCCTTTTTGCATCTGAGGAGACACACATTGGTCATTTTAAATCTGATAAGTACTTTAAATCTGATAAAACACATCAGGGGTTTAACATGGTTTTAGTATACGTGGAGGGATTAGTTAAGAAATCTTTACTGGAAGGGGTAACATTTGCAATGAGAACTAAAGAATGAGTCTGTGAAGGTCAGGCGGGTGAAATGCAAGAAATACTGGTGTTCCAACTAAAGTAAACTGCTTGTACAGTGACCCAAGTTAGGAGCTTGGCATATCTATTTTGCTTCTAAATTATGTTAATAAATTGGCATTTGTTGTCTAGTTTGAAGACTTAATATCTACAACCTTGTTTCTGTGGCAAATATAATTTATCTTTAAGAAAACTTTGAGTTCAGCCCTCCCTGGTGGCGCAACGGGTTAGGACAAAGCACTGCAAGCTAGCCACAGCTGCTTCATTGAGAGTTTGATCCCCCGCCAGAGGTATCCACATAGTGCAGGAGACCTCTCCTGTCCTACCCGCTGCTCCCCTCAGCAGTGTACTTCATCCATCTGCCTGTTCTACTCCCTACTCTGTCTCTGGTGAAGCCTCTCACTGCCCCTGCACCTCTGGCCTGTACCCCAGTTTTGTATGCATAAGTAAATAAATCTTAAAAAAAAAGAAAACTTTGAGTTCAGATATTAGACTTAGAAATTCTGAAATTTAGAGACTGTTTTTAAATTGGATATCTGAGCTTATCTGCTATTAGAAATCAAGACTGTAGATTCCCATAGTAAGCAAGGTACATTGTGTGAAAAATACAAGAATATGAAGGACACCACATAAGCCTGAGAGTGATAGTTTTCATTTAATGAAATTTAAGGAATCTAATGGGGAACAATTGAGCTTTTTTTTTTATTGCTATTTCTTTTTTTTTTTAAAAAGATTTATTTATTCATACAGAACTGGGGTACAGGCCAGAGATGCGGAGGGTGAGAGGATTCACCAGGGACAGAGTGGGCAGCAGAACAGGCAGATGAACGAAGTACACTGCTGAGGGGAGCAGCGGGCGGGTCAGGAGAGGTCTGCCAGCCATGTGGATCTCCTCCGGGGCAGGCGGGGATCGAACTCATGAGGAAGTGGCTTAAGCTTCTTAGTGCTGTGCTTTAACCCACTGCGCCACCAGGGAGGGCCCTAATTGCTATTTCTTAAAGGGAAAAACCTCCAGTTTGCCTGTGTTATAAACAGTTCTTCACAGTAGAATATAAAAAAGGAACTTAAAGTTGCCATTATATTATCAGTTAAACATTTCTATTTATGATATACTTGTTTTTTTTAAAAGATTTATTTATGTGTACAGAACTGGGGTACAGGCCAGAGGTGTAGGGGCAGTGAGAGGATTCACCAGACAGAGTGGGGACCGGAGCAGGCAGATCGATGAAGTACACTGCTGAGGGGAGCAGCATGCCGTCAGGAGAGGTCTGCCGCACCATATGTATCACCTCCAGGGTGGAATCGAACTCATGCTGAAGTGGCTTTAGCTTCTTTCTTAGTGCTGTGCTTTAACCCGCTGTGCCCCCAGGGAGGGTCATATGATACACTTGTTTAAAGAGTATTTTGTACTATAAATATGCTAAAAGCCTTTGTTTAAAGACTATTTTCTGTAAAATAGATGTGACTTTGGTGTTATTTTGGAGTTTTTTAGATGATTTTAGTAGTGGCTTTTGCTAAGTTCCCTATTACTTATACTTAAGGTCAAAAGTCCCACTGAAAACGTGGGATCAATAGATTTTCAGTCTCTGCTAGCAGGCAAAATGTCAAAATACAATCTGTGCATTTTTCAGCCTCTGCCCTATAGTCATCTTTTAATCTTCAAGTCCTTTTTATTGTGGTATCATGTCTCTTTAGAAATGGCTCAGTTCCTCCTGGAAGAAAAGTTCACACCACTGAAGGCCAACTTGTTTGCCTCTGGTTCTATTTCTTAGGGTGGTGCTTAGTTTTATTGTTCAAATATAAGTATTTTTAGGATTGTATATGTGAACAAGTAAACCCTAAAGAATTTCTACCATGACTGAATAGTGTAAGTCTTTTCTACTCTTGTGGCAGTTTCTCATCAGGAAGTAACTTAATCCCTTAGGCTACAGTTGGCAATTGGCTTGATGGAGACATTTTTGATTGCAAAATTGGGAGGGAGGGTGCTAATGGTAACTAGTGGGAAGAAGCCAAGCGTTCTTCACAATATCCTACAATGCACAGAGCAGCCCCCCAAAGAATTATTCAACCCGAAGTGTCAGTAGGCCCAAAGTTGAAAAACCCCACTAGACATATACTTCATTCCTAATTAAATCTTTCTCATTTCAGAATATTGATGCACCATGTTCTTCAGTGTCACTTGAAAATGTTCAAGATACAGATCAAGAGGTTATTGATACACTTATTTACTTTGAATATATTTAATGAAATTAAGTCAAAAATTTCCTACTTTTAAAAACAATGGAGATTATAAAAACCTTGGAAGTATGAAAATAACATTGATGTATCTCTACTTAAATCATGTTTTTACAAAGTCATATAAAACTGTTTGGAAAAGTATATTTACTTGATCACCTTTCCCCCTTTGTTTCTTATAAGCACTAATCTATTTTTCAATTATGTGCTTGCCAAAATATTTAATGATGTTAACATGTTTTTTGCCACATTTTTCTAATCATGTTATTCATTGAAAATGAGTGTATGATACTTGTTTTTCTAACCCGTTGTTTTATGTCTCAACTAGAATCTCCTGATTGACCCTGTCAGAATTATTTCATAACATTTATGTTCCCTGCTCCTAATTAAAATTAGATTTATAGAATACTTTGTATCTCTATTTTTAAGAAGACTTTAAAACTATATTGGTTGTTTATTTGTGACAGTCATATTCCTCCATCTGTAGGTCAATGCCCCTTGATAGAGTAAAGTGTTCTAGCCTGTGCTCTAAAGTATGATGATGATTTTCATTTTTTTACATCAAACTATGTCAGGGAACTCACATATTTCCATGAAGTTTTTGAAATTTTAGAAATCTTAAGAGTGCATTGTCCAGAAAAAAACGCATACTTAAAAGCATACATAAAAGCATACGTGGCTCCTCATGTGCTTTGAAATGAGGACTTACCTAGTTTGAAGATCTTATATCTACTGGACTCTGTACAAGAACTTCACATTATTTCATTTAATCCTCCCCATAATTCTAAAAGGAAATATTTAGCCTTCCTATTTACAGATGAACAAAGTGAGACTCAAGGTAGTTAAATTGTTTGCTTGCCTAAAGTTACAGAATAAGATAAGCTATTTTTAAAATTCCATGTATGTTAATAAATAAGAATAGATCTGTATTATTTTTATCATGTTGTTTTACATTCTTAAAGCGGTTTTCTTTCACAAACTTTTTAAATATATATGAATTAAAAATTCATTGTCTTGTTAATCTAGAGAGTGAATAATTCAGATTCTTCATTGTGTGTCTTTTATAACTTAGATGCAGATAGTAGAAGAGCTTCATGCTGCACGTGTGGGAAAATGTGTGGAATTGTCTGTGGTCCCTCCTGCTGGGGAGTTAATGAGTATGGAGATTGACTTAGTAGAAGATGATGGACATTCCTCTGCTGGTATATGCCATATGGATATTGTAATGTCTATCCTCCTTAAAAGTTAACACACTAACATTCAAGCTTTATAATATTTAGATGAAAAATGTTAAAATATACTCATTTAAAAATTATAAAGTATGGTATATTTCTTTTAGCTATAGAAATCAGGTGTAATACTTACTTGTTTTGTATATCTCATAATATTAGACATTTTCTTTCCCTTTTTTTTGTCAAAAGGGTATAGTCAGAGTTCTAAGTTGTCTTTATTCTTGCTTTTAATTATGGCTTTTAACAATTTCAACTATGTAAAGTATTGATCAAAGATAATGAAAATTGATCATGGATTTCTGGTTTGTATAGTAAAATTTTGATCATTGTTACTACTAGGAAAAGGAAATAAAAGAGATTATTCAAAATCTGCTTTGAATTGCATTTATCAAAAATAGTAATGTTATCTTACATTTACTTTGCATTTTTCAATTTAAGTTTTTTTTTCTATGCATTAACTTAGCTTACATTGTTCTTTTGAAGTAAATGTGCTAGTGTTATTCTCTGTTCTCTTTCTTTTACACATATTTATCTTCTCCATTTTTTTTTTCTCAGAATATAGTAAAATTAGCTAATGGTTCTTAAATGCACAACTACCATTGTTAAAGGATAAGACCTGATGATGTAGTTATACTTTGGGGCAAATGGTTTTTGATATAAACTCTATTGATAAACAATTTATAATCTGTAGGTGGATAATTAAACATTAGTTATTGTGCTTTCTCTTAAGGATTGAATTAATTTGTTTTTGTTGTTTAACAAATGTTATCAAAGTTCTATGATGTCAACAGTTTGGTAATTATGCAAGTCTGTTATTAAGTGCCATGAAATCTTAATATTGCTCTTTTCCAGCAAATACTGCTTCAGAGAAAAAGCTTCTCATTGTCATTGACACAAATATTCTAATGAATCATCTCAAATTTGTTAGAATTCTGAAGACAACAGAAATCCCAGGTATGTAGGAAACATATTTACTGACATGTATTTCCCTGAGTTATTATTTTATTTTAACCATGATACAGATTTTTTTCCTCACAAATTTTTGTTTGGATATACTATTAAGTATATTCATACATGTATGCTATTAAGTATATACATTATATATATAGAGATAAACACATTTATGGTACAGTCAACTTATGTAAAAAAGAAATGATTCTTTACTGTTTAACCTATCAGTCTAAACTCACTTCTTTGATCTCCAGTAGTATTTATTTGCTCACCATTCTTTTGATATGTCTGCTTTTAATTTCCTTTTTTTTTTTTTTAAAAAAAAGATTTATTTATTTATTTGTGCATACAGAACTGGAGTACAGGCCAGAGCTACGGGGTGGTGAGAAGATTCACCAGAGACAGAGTGGGGAGCAGAACAGGCAGATCGATGAAGTACACTGCTGAAAGGAGCAGCAGGCGGGTCAGGAGAGGTTTGCTGTGCCATGTGGATCACCTCCAGGGAAGGCAGGGATCGAACTCATGTGGAAAGTGGCTTTTGATTCTTAGTGCTCCGCTTTAACCCGCTACACCACCAGGGAGGGCCCAATTTCCATTTTTTTAATGCATTGCCTTTTCATTTAGATTGTGAATTCCTTACTCTATACATTCAGTTCTTGGGCCTCCCTGGTGGCATGGGGTTAAGAATGCTATCAAGCTACAGGCAGCCACTGCAGCAGGAGTTTGATCCCCAGCGGGTCAGGGAGCTAACCCACCTGGTGCAGTAGAATTTTCCTGTCTTGCCTGCTACTCCCCTCAGCAGTGTATTTCAGTAGCTCTGACTGTTCTTTTTTGCACTTTCTGGTGAATCCTTCACACCCCCCCCACACACACACACACCCTCACCCCCCGCACCTCTGGCTTATGCCCCAATTCATGTATGCATGAATAAGTAAATCTTTTAAAAAATAATAAAGCAATCTGTTCTTTTACAGCAGTTCATTGTAATAGCTCAATAAATATTTGTTGACTTCTAAGAAATCTTTTTATTTTTTAGGCTTCGACAGACTTGTGTTAATAATTCCCTGGGTTGTTGTGCAAGAGCTAGATCGTATGAAGGCAGGAAAATTGCTTAAACATGCCCAGCACAAAGCTGTTCCTGCAGTTCATTTCATCAATGACAGCCTCAAAGATCAAGATAGAAAACTATGGGGTCAGTCTATGCAACTTGCATCTCAAAAACTTTGTAAGTTTTCTTTTTTCTGGGTGCTTCCTGATTAAGATTTCTGTGGGTGCTGACTTATTAGTGGAAGGAAAATGTTGAAAAACTTTAAAAAAAAATTATAAACCTTGAAGTATGAAATGAAAGGTTAGTGATGGTTTGGAGTTTTAGTTTTGGTTGATTTTTATTTTTCTGCTTCTTAGGTTATACCTGTATAACTTAGACATCTAATGACTATATAGTTATGTCTGCATAGTTATTTGCTTTATAGTACGTTAGAAACTTTTTTCAAAGTATTATCAATTGATTGATGAGGCCGCAAGTGATCTAGGTATATAGATTTATGTGACATTAACTAACACAGTGTCACTGCAGGCAGTTAGTCTGATGAAGAGGCACATGTTTTTTTTCTGTGGTTCATCAAAATGTGTAATAAAAAATGTGTTTTTATAAAAAGATACATAGATTTTCCTGAATTTTACTCATTTCCTTTGTTTTTTAAAAGGTATTTTTAAATCACTCAAATGTATAACATAAATATGTTCTTTATGTTTTATATAACTTATTGAAAAAAATCTGTGTATAAAAAATCTGTTGCCTTGACAGGGCTTATACATACATTTGGAGGATTTACTCCATTCTTTCAATATGTGTTTCTTTCCAGCTCAGAATTATTTACATATGTACATTCCAATTATTTTAAATACCATAAATTTATCACTGTAGGATATGAAGGAATAAATCCTAAAGTGAATCTAATTATGGTATTAGCTCTGAGAAGACTTTTGACATGGCTAGTTTTAAATCTTTGAAGCAATTGACTTCTGCTATTCATTTATTCACTTAGATATTTAAAGATCTTAGTATACTAAGATGCAATGCTTATGCATTTTGAGTAGAAACTTAGTGTGATATATTTGAGTATTTTTCTTTATTTAAGAGTTTTTAAAGGAAAAACCACTATGGTGATACTCTGAAGTCCAGTATTAGACAGGGTTTCTTTGCTATGATAGAAGGTATTTAGTGAAGTTCTAATTTTGCCTGATCATGTTTTTTATTTCTTCTTAAATTAAAAAAAAAGGAAACACATATAAATACCACCTACAGATTAAAAAAAAAAACATTAAAATGTTCTTTTAATTTAAAATGAACATATATTAGGGCCTCCCTGATGGTATAGGGGATTAAAATGCAGTATCATGAAGCTATCTGCAGCCACTGCAGCAGGAGTTTGATCTCTCACCAGGGAGGTGACCCACATGGCACAGCAGACCTCTCCTGTCGTGCCCAATGCTCCTCTCAGTAATGTATTTCAGTAGATATGCCTGTTCTGCTCCCCACTCTGTCTCTGGTGAATCCTCTCATCCCTCTTCCATCTGTGGCCTACACCCCAGCTTTGTATGCACAAACAAACAAATCTTTAAAAAGTGAACATATATTAAATTGACATCTAGGCTTACCTTTTTTATTTATAAAAATTCAAATGCCGAAGTAGAGAGGATAATATAGTGAATTCCTATGCACATATCCTCATTTTCAGTAATTAGCAAACTTTTGTCATTCTTGTTTATTCTCATTGCCATTTCCCATACTCATGCAACTTCTAGAACTTCATTATTTTGAAGCAAATGTCAAGTATGACATTTTTACTCGTGACTACTCTTGTGTACATTGCTAACACAGAAGACCCTTTGAAAACAATTACACAGTTATTAAAATTAATTCCTAATTTAGATTGTCATTTCAATAAAGCACCAATCCTTAAGAGATGGGAATTTTACTTACTTTTAATCTTTTTTCCTTTTTATTTTGCTGATATAAATTATATTTTATGAGTATAGTTAATAATGATAATATGACAACACTTTTATGGACTTTTTTCTTCAGATCCTCTTTCAAGTGTTTTATAGCCAGTGTCTCATTTAAACCCTATAGCACTTAAAGGAAGACTTGCTTTGTTTTACTGATGAGGAAATTGAGGCACAGGGAAGTTAAAGAACTTAGATAATCTATTTCTTCAATAGGTTGTGACTGAAAATTATTTTAGAACAGCTCACTTTGAATAGAAATTTTGGCCATAGTTATTTATAGATGCTTGTTTTGTTAAGTTGCTGAAGTTGCTTTTAGTTATAGGGTTGTAGATGTAATGTAAATGGTGTAACCACTCTTTTATGTGCTCTTTATCATTATTTTCTATCAAGCTGATTATTTAAGACAGAGTGCTTAGTACATTTATTCTCCTAATAATTATTTGATAATATCTTTTAGAAATATCTTTAGTCATTTTTATCAAATAAAATTACATCTTATTTTATAATGATAAGCTGAAATTCAATTCTGGACTACTGAGTCAAAGTAATCTGTTTGGACAAAGGCAAGAACAAAATTTATTTTATTCTTCTTCACATATGTTGAGCACATTTGCAGACAATTCTACTTCATTATTTTGCATGTATACTTTCTTTTACTTGAGTAGTATAACAGTATGTCTTTTACACAAGCTTTTTTACATTAAAAGAAAAATGCCATAAACTGAATGAAGGTAGTCCATGTTGACTTTCAGCCTTGTCCTTAACTCTCTTCAAAATTGAGTTTAATTGATGTAGTGTTTATTCTTATGACAGAAACCTAGGATTTGAAATCTGACTAGCCTGAGTTTATGAACCTGAGTGGGGGAAAGTTAAAAGGGAAGAAACTACAATGAAATGGGCATAAATAACATACAGGTCAAAATTGTTTGTGAAAATTACATAGATTTGGTCAGAAAAACTCTGGTGGTTGGGAATGTACCTGCATGCTCCCAAAGACACACTTGAAGGACAAATTGTGCAGCAGACTTGCAAGGCAAGACTATGCTGCCTAGTAAATGGCACTTTTGCTGCTATTAGCAGTATGATTGATTATGTGACAGTGACAGGAGAAGCAGAGTCCAGGGGAGAAAAAGGATAATCAACTTTTATGTGGACAGGCGGACATGTCAGCCACATGTACAGGGAGGACTTTCTGTGCAGGCGCTTGGTTTAATTTCCAGGTTACTCCCAGACCACCTCAGACCATGGCCACATAGGCAAATGGCTACCTAGGCATCCCCAGCTGCCTCGAGACACACACCATTGATTGTCTTAAGGCAGGCATGCAGGAGTGCCTTAATCCAGGTCTTTCACACACACAAGGTGCCCAGAGAGGCCAGACACACAGGTGCAGAGGCCCCCAAGTGGTAGAGAGGCAAAAAACTGAAAATCCCATTGCCCCAAGAAACACATACAATTATTTAGTACTCTGTCCACTGCAAGTATCTAATGTTTTCCTTTTCTAATGTTTCCTTTTTCTTTTTATGTATAAAAATTTAGTTTTTATAGTTTTCATTTGTCACTTCCTTTGATATTTTCTTTTCCTTCTGAATATAGAATGTTACTCTTTGAAGACTCACTTAGCAGTGTTAAGTAACTTTTGTAACTTTTTTGTAACTTTTCAAAAGAGCAGTTTAGTGGTATGTATCAAGAGGTTTAAATACATAATTCTTTTTCTGGAAATGGATCCTAAAGTAATAGTCAGAAATGCTCACAGTGATTTATGTAAAAGTCTTCATCACAGAATTATTTATACAGAAAAAAAAAAAGTAACAACCCGACTGACAATTGAGGAAGCTAACATGCAATGCTTTGGTCATACAAGAAACCAAAATACTGTATTTTGAAAAATGTTTTAATGTTATCTATTAAAACAAGACTTTAAAGGCCCTCCCTGGTGGTGCAGCAGGTTAAAGCACTGCACTAAGAAGCTAAAAGCCAGTTCTGCATGAGTTCGATTCCCGCCTGCCCCGGAGGTGACCACATGGCGTGGCAGACCTCTCCTGACCCACCCGCTGCTGCTCTCAGCATTGTACTTCGTTGCTCTACCTGTTCTGCTCCCCACTCTGTCCCTGGTGAATCCTCTCATCCTCCGCATCTCTGTCCTGTACCCCAGTTCTGTATGAATAAATAATAATAAAGTAAAATCTTTAAAAAAAAAAAAAACAAGACTTTAAAGACTAGAAAGTGTAATTCCAAATTTGCTATTATTCATATATCCTCACAGATAGATGGTGAATATTTAACTGGTTATATTAACTGGTGGACTTATGTGTTATTTTAATTTTTTTACATTTTCCAGGTATTTTATTATAAGTTAAAGTTACTAAGGACAAAAATGAAGATATCTGCCATCTCCCCACTGACTTTTTTTTTCACCATTCATTTTTTATGCTTTAGAATAAAATAAATATTTTTAAGTAATTTTTCCTTACATCATTAATTTTTGCACAATATATGCAAAAGGATTTTTGCAAAGAGATTTTTGCCTTCAGGTATAGTGCTCAGTTCCCACCAAAGAACCCTAGTCCATCATCATAGTCTCTTATGCTCCAACCTCCTCCTTACCCTCCATCCCTACTTCCCTCTTGGATGCCTCATACCTGTGGTCAGCTTTCAGAGTTTTTCTTTGACCCTTTATTTGGTTTCTCTATATTCCACATTTAAGTGATGACATCTGATATTTACCTTTTCCCTTCTGACCTACTTGCTTAGCATATTCCCTTCCAGGTCTATCCATGTTGCCTCAAATGGCATGAATTTATCTGTTTTGATTGCTGAGTAGTATTCCATTTTGTATATATACCATATCTTCTCAATCCATTCATCTGCTCTGGAGCATTTAGATCATTTTCATATATTGGCAATTGTAAATAGTGCTGCAGTAAACATAGGAGTGCAACATTCATTGAGAATTAGTGCTTTGTGTCCTTTGCATAGTTCTAGGAGTGGAATACCTGGATAGTATGATCCATTTTTAGTGTTTTGAAGATTACTCACACAGCTTTCCATAGAGTCTGGTGTAGTTTACATCTCCACCAACAGTATAAGAGAGTTTATTTTTTCCTACATCCCCACCAGCACTTGTGTTTGTAAATATGGGTCATTGTCACTGGTATGAAGTAGTATCTCATATGAAGTGGTTTTGATTTGTATTTTCTGATAATAAGTGATGGTAAACATTTTTCATTTGCTTATTAGTCATTGCATTTCTTCTGTGGAGAAGTGTCTTAGCTTTTCTGCCCATCTTTTGATTGGGTTGTTTATTTTTGTTGAGTTGTGTGAGCCCTTTGTAGATCTTTGACATCAGTCCCTTTTGGTCTCTTATCAAATGTTTAGTATGGGGATATTTCATTAGGGTGTCTCTTTGCTTTGGTTGCTGTTTTGTCTGTACAAGCTTTTTAGTTTGATGTAATCCTGGCTGTTTATATTTTCCTTGCTTATGGAGATGAGTCCTCAAAGGTGTTTCTGAAGTTTATGTAATGAAATGTTTTGCCTGTGTTCCTTCTATATATATTGCTAGTTTTCAGGTTTTACATACATTTTGAGTTGACTTTTGCATATGGTGTGAAATAGCCTAGTTTCATTCTTCGTGTGGCATCCAGTTTTCTCAGCATCATTTGTAGAGGAGACTTTCCCTGTTATAGGTGAGATGACCATATGTCCCACCAAATATTTGTTCCATTATTTTTTATCTTAAGTCTTTCCTGATTCATTAACAAATATACCTGCAGCATTGGGGCTGTTCTAAGTATTGTTGCTACAGACAAAATGTGTTATCAAGGAGCTTCAATTTTATTAAATATTAAAAATAATAGCTGTAATTTATATGGAATTAATTTTGGTGTTACACATGAGTAAAAAGCATTGCTGTTCAGGTGCCATCTAAGCTGAGTCTAAATTAATATGTATATATTACTTAGAAAGCTCTTGCTATGCACTTTACTGGGCCAAGTGCTTCATATAAATTTTCTTATTTAATTCTCACAGTTGAGCATTTTACCCAAGAGTACATGTGGAAAAGGAGGCATTCAAACTTAAGGGTCTGTTTTGAGTTTTCATTGTCACTTTTAAATAGTACCTGAGCATGTACTTGACAGTATTACTTGAATATATTTGTTGTGAATAATCTTGCAGCTTTACATGTATTTTGTAGATTTTTTTTTTTTTTTAAGATTTATTTATTTGTGTATACAGAACCGGGGTACAGGCCAGAGGCTTAGGGGTGGAGAGAGGCTTCACCAGAGACAGAGTGGGGAGCAGAACAGGCAGATCGACGAAGTACACTGCTGAGGGGAGCAGCGGGCGGGCCAGGAGAGGTCTGCCACGCCATGTGGTCACCTCTGGGGCAGGCTGGGATCGGACTCATGCGGAAGCGGCTTTAGATTCTCAGTGCTGTGCTTTAACCCGCTGGGCCACCAGGGAGGGCCCTATTTTGTAGATTTATATCCTAAAAAAGTGATAGAATGGATTGTCTTGAACTTCCATACCCTGAGAGCAGCATTGTGTTACTGAAACCTTTAAACTTTTTGTCTGTTAAATGGGTTGCTTTAAATTAGCCAGTGATTTTGAGCCACCCCATTTTCATCATTGTAGTATTTACTTTGCAAACTAAAAAGGAAGAAGAATGATGGTGTAACATGTCTGTGTGCTTCTGTTGTTTGATTAAAGAACTGAGGGACATCTTCAGTTTCATTCACTGAGTTAAATTAAGTCTAGCTTCACTATAATATTGTGAACTATTGAAGAGTTAATTTGTTCTTCACATATCCAATTACTTAGTACAGGCACCTGGCATTAATTATGTCCTATATAATTTCATTGTGTGAATGAATGGCTTTTCAAATTTGAATGTTTAGAGGACTAAGTAATATAGGCTAAAAGTTGAGGGAAAAAAGATTACAATCTAGAAACAAAGTTTAGGCTCATTGACTAATACGTCTTGAACTTTAATGCCATAAACTCCATGAGGACTGCTTAAATTAGTCTTTGGATCCAGGTTTCAAAGATTGTTATTAAAAATTCAATTTTGAGTGTGGCTGTGCACTCTGTATTATTGATTGTTTACCCAAGAAAGTTCTGAGCAGGTATTGGAAGGACCAGTGAGAAATACCATCTTTGGTTCTATTTTTACACATTGTATTTTAACCAAAAAAAAAAAAAAAAACAAAACCCAAACATTTCCTTCATGCTTTAAGGCTTGGAGAATGCTGGAGGACATCCTGTCAGTCACTGATTAACATCTATCAGAAATTACTTTATGTGTTTATATTTTGCCATCTCCTATAAATCTTTAAATGTTACTGCTTAAGAGAACAAGGGAAAGAGACACATGAAAATGGTTATGCTGTTTGTAAAAAAGTTGTTTATTAGTTTATAGAATTATTTTTAAGTTAAGATCATTTTAAGCTTATGTAATCATGTAGTTATTTATAATCATTTACTGACTTGAGCTTGAATTCATAACTTTGGGTTTCTAGTCTGTCATTTAATCTGTTGATCACATTTTGTGGTGTTTATTAATAGGCATATCCTGTTCCATTTTAGTAATAAACTAACACTTTATTAAATCCACTACTATATGCAAACTGGATTCTACATCCAGAATTTTCAAGGCATTGCTTTGCTGTGCTTTGTTTTCCTCTTTTCATGTAGAAAGTTTACTTTCTTTTTAGATGTTCATTTATTGTCACAACCTAGATTATTGATATAGTACACAGATTTCTAGTACCTAATGCTTATTAACAATTTCTTTTGCTAAATTTGCAGATGGATTAAGTGATGAAAACAATGATGATCGAGTATTAAAATGCTGTCTTCAATACCAGGAATTATTCCCTTGTTCTGTTGTTATACTGTGCACGTGAGTCTCATAGCCATTTATTATTTCTTTTAATAATAGAGACATAACAGAGTTTTAAAGAATCTTATTGTGTATTCCATACCAAGGATCAAAACATAATTTTATTAATCTGCCAAATAAAAATGTTCAATTATAGCTCACATTTCTAAAGTGTATAATCTACAGAAACATGAGATTTAAATCTCATGTATCAGAATTTCACTTTGATTTAAATTATGTAACATTCATAGAATTCTTGAAAAATCAGAGGAAAGTCAATGTAATACCCCAAGGAGTAGTTGAGAACAAAAATTTGATAAAAATTTATTGGTTATGAGTCAAGTTTTGAAACTTTTATTATGGAGAAATTCAACAATATTCAAAGTGAACAAGCATTAATAAATTATGTACTGGTTACAACAGTTACTAAATTCTCCTGTGTTGTTACTCATGCCTTCATCCACTTCCTGCCCCCTACATGGTTATTTTTATGCAATTACTTGTATTTGAGGAAAAATACACATATATTAGAATGAACAACTCCTAAGTAGACAGTATTGATAATGCATACACTGGTGTAACCCACAACCCTTTGACTATATAGAATACTCCATTACCCCAGGAGATAATTCTGTACTCCTTTTTGCTCTTTACTTTCTTAAGGTGTAAGATTAGATCATGTATTTGAAACTCCTGTAAATTTTAGTTTAAGCACAGTTTAATTGCATTTCACAAATTTCAGTATGTTGCACTTTCATTTTAATTCAGTACACTTTATAATTTCCCTTGTGATTTCCTCTTTGACACATAGGCTATTTCGATGCTTTTCCTTAGTTCCTGATATTTGCAAAATTTCCATTTATCTTTTTGTTTATAATTTATGATTTAATTATGTCATGGCTTAAGAGCACAATTTATATCATTTATATGCTTCTACATTTGCTAAAGTTTATTTTATGGCTAAGAATATAATCTACTTTAGTGAATACTTTATGTGCATTTGAAAAGGATATGTATTTCATCTTGTGGATGGACTGATTTTGTACATTTCAATTATGTTAGAGTGGTTGATAGCATTATTAGGGACTTCTGTAACTTTGCTAATTATCTATTTGTTACTGACAGAGGACTATTAGAATCTCCAAGTATAAATGTGCATTTCTCTATTTCTTCTTTCAGTTCTATTTGTTTGACTTCATTTATTATGGAGTTCTTTAGTAATATACATACACCTGTAAGATTGTCTTGGAGAACTGGCCCCTTACTCATTAGATAATGTATCTCTTTGTCCCTGATAATATTCCTGGCTTTGAAGTCTTCTTTACTAGTATATTAATATTAGTAGAAAGAAATGGTATGTTACTTTCCATCCATTTACTTTAACCTGTACAAAATTTGTCCGTCTGATTTTGCATGCTGTTAACTTTTTCTGTGAAAACTTTTAACATGTTAAGCAAATTATTTTGGTCCTGAAGCCAGGGAATGAATTAATCAAATTCTTTTAAATCCCCTGTTATGTGTGCTTTCAACATCTGTGTCATATCTGAGTCTGAGTCTATTGATTACATTCTATCTTGGCAGTGTGTTTGGTTTTTCTGGACAGAATTAATATGCACATTTTAGTGCTCACCTCCTCTGTGGTTTCTTCCCATTCTTAGTTTCTCTCTTAACTTTCTCTTAGCCAGTCTTGAACATTGTCTTAGGACATTTAAAGCTCTAAGGCCTTTGTGACTTTGCATTTTCACTAAGTCATTGATAATTTGGGAATTATCCCCAGGCAAAAAAATAAGGCACTGTAGCTCTCATCAGTGTAATTTTTGTGTCTGGAGGTATAAGTTTGGATAAGTCACTTATTAACCTCTTTACATCTCAGTCATCTGCAAAATGGAGATAAATAGTGCCACTACTACCTCAGATGTTTGTTGTGAGAATTAAATGGATTGAGAGAGTGTGTGTGTGCGCATTGCTTATAAAGTGCCTGGTACTTCAGAAAAGATAGTGAATAAAAATTATTATCCTCAAAAGCTCATGTAATGTAATTGTTGTATGCTCATTTCTTTATTGTCTCTATTTTTTAAATTATCTTTTGTTAATATTTATGCTGAGAATCAGATCCCATGTGTTTTCAGTTACTATGTCATTTATCTTATAAAAAATATTTTTTCCTCTTAACCCCAACCTCAGGGATGATAGAAATTTAAGAAACAAAGGCCTTATAAGTGGAGTGAAGTCACTCAGTAAAGAAGAATTGAGTGCAGAACTATTAAACTTATCTCTGAACACAGATGTATGTCATCAACCTTGTATATCTAAGCAACAATTGAAAGCAGGTAGTATTCTTACTGTGAATAACTAGACATACTTATTTTGCACTAAGATTATTGGTAACATTGGAATTAATACTAAGTTTTTATCATATACATTAAAGTGATTTGGAATATTTGCTGGAATGTTAATGTTAGAAATAATGGTAATCCAAAAACTGGCATAGTTAATTAACTTTATTGCCTTCTGCATATACTTCCATGAATTAATTTGAGATTTTATACACTTACACATTTTTACATATTTATAATCACTGTGTACATGCTATTTTATTATACATGTCAGAGGATACCTTTTAGCTAAATACCAGCTTTAGGAAATTTTTGTTTAAGGTGCATAAAATTTAATTGCTAATTTCTTTTTAAAATCAGCTTTATTTTGGTAACTTTAAAGACCTGTTATTTGTATCTTTTTAATCAGAATAATCTGTTTTATAGGTTGGTATTTGATGGAATACTGTTATTAAATCTGACATTATTTAAAAATACATCCTACCTTTTCCCTCTAAGGGAAAAATAATTTTTGAAATGTCTAATATTGCACTTTTTATATATTATTAAGTAAAAATTCATATATCCACATGCCATTTATTTGATCTTTTTGGTGATAAGTGTTTCTTTTATCATAATATTCAGTGATATTTAGATTTTGCAGGAGTAACATGCCTTTAGTTTTGTCTGTTACTATCATTTTAAATTCTTAGCTTGTATTTGTAGAGATAAGTCACTTAATACTTTTAATTTGGCCATAAATAAAATTGTGTTTGCTTTCAAGTATCAAGATAGTAATGTTAGTGATGTGCTCTTTTTGAAAGGAGAAGCATAAAAGTGGTTAAGGCAGAGATTTTGGTCTTTTAAAAACAGTTTATTGATGTGGGCTATGATTAGAAGAATATAGTTTTGAAAAATAAAACACATTTTGATCCTTGGTTTTCTTTAAATGCATAGTGTTCTTTTAGTTTTTCCTATTTGATAATAATAAAATGGACGTTGGAAAGTACGATAACATTTCTTTAATTCCTACTCGTAAAACTATTTCCTTGCCTATTGTCAAAAAGACAGCATTTGCTAAAGTAATATATTTGTGTCATCTAAAACATAGACTGGAGATACATGTTTCTAAATATTATTTTTAAAAATGAAAGGGCTGATTAGGTTATTTAGATACTTTGTATATTTTTATTATTTATAGCCAAATATTATATATACTTAAATGATAATGTAAATATAATATTGATAGTTTTCATTTGTGTCCTAAATAAAGCTTGTAATTACTTGTTTTAAAGAAGCAGCATCTTTGGAAGAAAGCTATGAAGAAGAATCAAAAAATTCTGGACTACCCATTTTACTTGAAAGCATTATATCTGATCTTGAAAAATCTCTTGGAACAGCTTTATCTTCAATATTAGAAACAGAAATGAAAATTGCTTTTGGAAACCTTTGGATGGAGGTGATTATTTCAATTATTTGAAAATTTCTTTTATATTATTATATATTTGTAACTTTATGTAATGAATATAAAAATACATAAGCTTTATTGTAATAATCTATGTCTCACTGTACTTTTCTTGAAGTTTTGAAATAACTTTTGCAAATTATGTGATGAGCATTTCCAAGGACTATGTTTTATTTATCTTTTGCTGTTTTTCAGCGAACAAACACTCCATATCAGTATTGTGAGTCAGACACACTACAATCATGGAGCTTTGATTGACTTCATAAATATTTCTCTCATGTTTAGTTTGAGTTAAAATGTTTAGTGTAGGAATGTTCTCTAACAATACGTATTCAGAGAGTACTATGTATTTCATCATGTCTTTTAATAGGAAAATCATAGTATTTATTTGCTTATATTAGCAAGATCTTTTTTTTTTTTTTTTACTTTTTTGCTTACTGATTTTGTTTATTTCCCATCAATTGTAGATTATATATATTCCAGATATTCACTGACAGGTTAATTTGCCAGTATATTTGTTTGCTGATTGATTATTTTATCAAGTATTGAACCAAGATGATGAATGATTAGAACATACTGGGAGGGTTGACTCATATGCATATGAGTGGTTTGGAAGAACATGCTGACATTTTTCTAGTACCATATGATCATGTTTTCTTTATGAACATGTTTTTGCAAGAGTATAGCATCAATTACTAGTTATATATGAAATAATTAGATTTATTTTTTCAGAGAATGCTATGTTGAAAAAGATTGAAGATCATTTCTGACTAGAACTATTCCTTCTTTTTGTATGTAGTTTTAGAAACTATAAGTGTGAATACAAATTTCAACAAAGCATTTCTCAGTGGAATTAGTATTTCAAGATTATGATTGGCTTTTAATAAAATACCTTTCCTGGGCCCTCCCTGGTAGCTCAATAGGATAGGACGCAGCACTGCAAGCTAGCCGCAGTCGCTTCAGTGCTAGTTCAATTCCCCACCCTGGAGGTGGTCCGCATGGTGTGGCAGATCTCTCCTGTCTTACCAACTGCTCCCCTCAGCAGTGTACTTCGCGATCTGCCTGCTCTGGTCCCCACTCTGTCTCTTGTGAATCCTCTCACCGCCCCTGTAACTCTGGCCTGTCTGTACCACAGTTCTGTGTGCATAAATAAAATCTTAAAAAAAAAAAAACCTTCCCTTTAAAAAGTAATTCAACTAACTATACCCTGAAGTATACATGAGAATTCATAAGTACTTTTAAATCATAGGTATAATAAATAAGTACATATTAATTTTTTTCTAAATACTTTTTAGATGCTGTACTTGAAACCACCATGGACTCTAATACATTTATTACAGTGCTTTAGAAAACATTGGGTGGCTGTGTTTGGATTAGTTATGGAAAAGAACTTGCTTGTAACCATTGAGAGCCTGTATGAAAATCTCTGTAAAGGTATGAGTCTTGTTTTATCTTTATCACTGTTATGTTAAAGTATTAAGTCAGATTAGCAGGTAGTGCCCATGGAATATGAAGATGAATTAATCAAAAATTAGTTAATTAGTTTTTAACTATATTTCTAATTTCAAAAGGGAGTTTTTGTTAGCTGGATGATATAATTCATAGAAAGTGTAACTGTAATGGTGACACTGTTGATGTTACTGAATATTGTGAATATATAACTTTTAGTAATATTTGAAAACTCTTAAGCCATATTTTAATATTTTATTTGGGTATGTAAATAGAATTATTCAAATTTTTTTTCCCTTTTCTCACTATGTTTAGCACACACTGTAGTACATTTCATGTGCTAATTTAAAAAACAGTGTATTAGGGTTCCATTTAATATTTGAATAAGTAATATTTGCTTTGTTGCATAATGAATTTTAGAAATGAAAGAAATCACCATCAACCATTTAGTTGCTGGAGTTTAAATATGTCTTTAGGCTTCTTGTAATGTTTTCAACCTACCACAGCTTGACAAGGGTAGAAAGGTTAATGGAATATGTTGTAGGGGTTGGGCCTTTAGTCCTTAGTTCCAGTTTTAACCGGACACCTTTAATTTATCTGCATATGGAGAGTCTAGGTGAGATTTGAATATAAAAGACTAGAAAAAAACGTTGTGATACACTGACTAAGAAACACTAAGGTTATTTATTTATTTTTAAAATATTTATATATTTATTTATGTTTACAGAACTGGGGTACAGGCCAGAGGTGTGGTGCGTGAGAAGATTCATCAGAGACAGAGTGGGAGCAGAACAGGCAGACTGACAGAGTACACTGCTGAGGGTCACAGTGGGCAGGTCAGAAGAGGTCTGCTGTGCCATGTGGGTCAGCTACCTGGCCAGGGATCGAACTCATGCTGTGAAGTGGCTTTAGCCTCTTAGTGTTGTGCTTTACCCGCTGCACCACCAGGAAGGGACCCTAAAGCTCATTATTTTTAATTAAGGAAATTCTCACTGATAGAGTATGTGATTTGTCCCAATTTAAATCTTGAAGAATGACAACTGTGACCATTATTGGATATTCAGTTGGTTTATTGCTCTAACTCTAAAGATGGACTGCATCTACTTTACTTACTTTCATTACATGTTAGTTAAATCCATTCTTTTTTGAAAAAATAATGGAGCCTCCCTAGTGGCCTAGAGGGTAAGTCTCAGTCTGACCACCTGAACGGCCCATTGCAACAGCCTGAGTTTGATACTTAGCCAGGGAACTGACATGGTATAGCTCTTCCACTGCCAATCCTGTCTCTCCCATTATACCTCTTAGCAGTGTATTTCAGTAGATCTGCTTATTCTGCTCCCCACTCTGTTTCTGGTGAATCCTCTCACCTCCTGTACCTCTGGCTTACACCCCTGTTCTATGCAAGAATAAACAAACATAAAAATCTAAAACCTTTAAAATTAAAAGAATACAGAGTGCCACTAACTAACAACCAGAGTACTTGAGTGATTAAATTAAATTTTAAAGAGCTCACGAGCCAGATAATGAAAAATAAGTGATAATTTTATCATTAAAAAAAGTAGTATTTGAGCATGGATTTTAACATCAAGCTTCCTGGAAGCTAAAAACAAAACAAATATATACTCTCAAATATATACTCTCTCTTTCTCTGAACTTACAAGCAGTTTGAAATATGTTTTCTCTTAAAAAATTTCCTCTTGGGGATTTAAAAATCTTACTTGGTGTCTAAGGAAGTGGTTAAGTGTTGGGTAAAAGTTTATTTTTAAAAGCTGCCTGTTTTTAAAAGAAGGATAGTTTCCTGGCATTGTCTTTACCTATAGAAGTGATTTATTAAGTGTGTAGCATTATGTAAAAAACATGGAACAACATATTGGACATGTCTTCAAAACAGATTTACAGAAGATGCATAAACACTTCTTGTACCTTTTATTGGAGCATTTTAGTTGGCTCTATCAGAAGAGAAAGCCCTTAAGCCACATATGAGCTTTAACAACCTCTTCCACTTTTCTGTTTTTCCAGCTGGAGATAGTGTTTTGCATTTACATGAAGCCTGATAGATAGGCAGACGTTTTGACTGGCAAAGAGATAGTGACTGTTCCTTCTGTTCTAAAATATTATTTTGGAATCATTGTGTGCCTAGTTTATTGGTCCTTGGTCTACAAGACTCTCATGCCTAGTATTTACTTGTCAAGAATATACTATATACTGTAGTGGTATCTTTTGCTCTAAAATGATTTTGAATTATAAAAAAATCAAGGTTTTATGATTTTGGTTACTAACTTTTAATAGATCCTCAGCTGTTGAGTTATGTATCCTTAGATCAGTTTATAGGAAATTATGTGAAAATGACTCATAGCTTTTACTGACTTTGTTATTTATATTAACTTCAGTCTAAATAATTACTTTTTATATAAACATTGAGCTATTTCAGCCATGTAGACTTATTTTTATGTTGTGTCTAGATACTGAATTTATCATTGTTACTCCTTTTTGGACCATAATCTTAGTAAACAACTTTTAAATTCAGAAATGAAATGTTTAGTTCAAGGACAGAAGTACTGAACATAGACACTTTGGAGGAACATCCTTAGGAGAAGTTGTGTACAATTGTGTTCTCAGAATATTTTACATTATCTTAACAGAGTACACAGTATCTTTCAACTCCCTTTTCCTACAGGAATTTAAATTAGTCATTGACTTTAAATGTAACCGAAAGTGTTCTTTTGGAAGAAAATGCACTAGGTTTTTTGTTCTTGTTTTTGATTAATAAAGGGGAAGCTGGGAGATTGGCTCTTACCATCACATTAAATTTTTCTGAATATTGTGCCATTTATTATTAAAATCTTTATTTTCATGTGATTTTTCAGCATTTCAATAGCAAATTCTGTGTGATACAGAGTAATTCATAATTTTTTGGCTGTTGAAAAAATGGACTGTTTTTTCATCGTCTCTGAAACTGTGAACATTTAAAGAAAATAAAACACACTGTAGCATGGCTATTTCAAATCCCCTTGAAAGCATTTGTGCCGTATTCTACCTTATTAGTGGAAATCTGTTCTGATTTTTTGGTGACATTAAAATTACTTAAAAGTTTATAACTTAAGGGCCCATGGCGAGGCAGACCTCTCCTGACCCGCCCGCTGCTCCCCTCAGCAGTGTACTTTGTAGATATGCCTGTTCTGCTCCCCACTCTGTCTCTGGTGAATCCTCTCACCCTCCACATCTCTGACCTGTACCCGAGTTCTGTACGAATAAATAAATAAATCTTTAAAAAAAAAGTTTATAACTTAAAATCTCAAAGATTATTGTAAATTTTGGCTTAAGATAGGAATATAATTTTAGTTCCTTGAAAAAGTGTTACACTTTCACTTCACTAATTTATGGATGGGGTTAGGAATAGTCTGCCTTTACCTGTTCATAGCTTGCTATTACCCAAATGGCATAATTTAATATATATGTATAAATGTGTTTTAGATCATTCAAATGGCATAATTTTTGCTGACATGGTATACACAGAGAAATTAATAAATTCAATTTCTAGTAATTTTAGTTGTATACTTCATGTTATGGAGTCTGAAATTAAACACAACCTGTAATTATCAGTTTGATCATGAGAAGCACTTACAGGTGACTCTTCCCATGCCTTCGTAATCTGTATGTGAAACAGCCTCACTTGAAAATCTGTAGTTTTTTTCTTTTTTTTTTTAAGATTTATGAATTTATGCATATAGAGTTGGGGTACAGGCCAGAGAGAGTTGGGGTACAGGCCAGAGGTGCAGGGCCATTGAGAAGATTCACCAGGGACAGAGTGGGGAGCAGAACAGTGCCGACTGAGGAAGTATATTGCTGCGGGGTGCAAGAGGTCTACCACACCATGTGGGTCACCTCCGGGGTAGGAATCAAACTCCTGCTGAAGTGGCTTTAGCATCTCAGTGCTATGCTTTAATCTGCTGTGCCACCAGGGAGGGCCCAAAAATCTATAGTTTTAACTCTGTGGCTTGGTGATTATCTCCCTTCTGAAGATTATTATATTCTTTCTCTTTATTTTGTACCTTGAAGTTAACTGAAATCAGCTATAAGAATATTGTTTTAATTCATGTTCTTTTATTGTTTATATTAGGTTGGTTTTCCAAGGATATTTTTTAATTCTCTATTCATTCATACATATTTTTTCCTGCTTAATTTTCTGTTAACAGCTAACAGTGCAGTGGATTTTACAACAGTGAAATTCCTACTTCAAGATTCTAAAAGTTTATTACATGCTTTCAGTACAAGGTCAAATTATGATGGTATTCTTCCTCAGGCCTTTGCTCAAGTAAGCAAACTACTTCAAACATTTACAGAGGTAAGATACCTTTGGCATGTCATTTACAATAGCTAATCACATACATTCTAAACGTGTATTTAGCAGATGTTGGGTGAAGGCTATTTTAATTTGAACTTATTCTAACCAAAGGCATTAAGTAAATATTAAATGAATTGAAAGAAGAGTAAGTGATTCTTATTACAAATTACAAAACACACATTCCTTTATGGAAGAAGTATCATAGCAGTTACTGGTATTTTATATTATTCATTTATAGAATGAAGGTATAGAAGAAAGCTTTGCCTTGTTGTTTGACTAGTCATTTTCTAGTACCCCAAATCAGGGTATCACACCATGCATCAAAATACTTAGGAAATATTTTCAAACATGCAGATGCTAAACCCCTTTAAAATCTTAGTGTATCAGGGTTTTGGCAGTGGTGCCCAGTAATGTTTCTGTTTCACTTTTATTTGCAAATAATTTCAATTGAAAGCTATTTCGAAACTTTCAAAAAAGGTACAAGAGTTGTACAAAGAATTCGAATTTGTATCTGGGAAATACCCAGGGTTCACATTTAGTCATATTTCTATTATTGTTTTCTCTATCTGCCTAGCTCTCCATCTATCTATATTCATCTTCATTTTTCCCCTGAACTATTTGAGTCTATAGTATAGATATGCTGACCGCTGCCCTGAAATGATTCCATATGTATTTCCTAAAATACAGGATATCTTATATAGCTATTATTATTAACCTGGAAATTAAAATGGATATAATACAATTTTTTAACCTTGCAGACATGTTTTATACTTTACCATATATATTTTATCCACAAGAATTTACTTGCATAAGGGAGAATCTTGTGGAGTAAAACTTACAGGAAACTCTTGATAATTCTTGAGAAAAGGAGTGCTGTAAGGGGTGAAATGATTTTCTGACTTAACATTGGTAGTTGTTATTTCCTGTGGCAAGTTTGACCTTTAGATCTATTGGCAGGAGAGGATGGGCTTAGGAATTTAGGAGATTGCATAATAGATATTATACTTGAATTATGTAGGGAAAGATGTATTGTCCTTTCCATCACAGAATTGGATCCTAAGTGAATCTTCAGTGAAATAATAATGGAACAAAATGAAAAGTTTAGTATTCTTACAGGGTTGGCATCTTTTCAATAAAGATTGAAATAAAAAACATGTGGGAAAGGTTGAGATAAGAGTAATAATGAGTGTGAAGTGTCATTAGCTGGAAACCCAGAAATGTGAGGAGTCATGAATCTGTGATGGTAAAATGAAATGTTATTGGATAATGGTTTGCCCACTCTGTGTTGCCCATTGAGTATTTAAAAATATTAAATTGTGGTGAGCAGATCTCTCCTGTCTTGCCTGCTTCCCTTGGCCTGGTCTGTTCCCCACTCTGTCTCTGGTGAGTCCTTTCACCCTCACACCTCTGCTCTGGCCTGTAACCAAGTTATTGTATGCATAAGTAAGTATATTTTTAAGAAATAATAAATTGTTATTTAGTAAATTATTGACGCCCAGATCCTAATATTCTAGTCGATAATAAAAAAGAGTCATGAGAACTGGGAAAGATTCAGTATCCTCATTAGTGCTTTGCATTATTGTGATTTCTTGAAACAAACTGTAATGTTTCCATAATTTAATTTTGAGATGTTGCTCCCTTATTTCCATGTTAGCAATAATTATTGTCTAAGTCAGTCAGTAATGTTGAGCGTTAGCTTGGACTTTTAAGTATACTTTCAGTAGGTATTGTTAGGTAGATTGCATTAGATTTGATAAATGCATAGTCATATCTCAGGAACTTAACCAACAAAAAGGAATAGATTGTATCTCCAGAGGTTGGGTATCTAAACACAGTAATTGTAAAAAAAAGAAGGAAGGGAAAAAAAGCCCCTTAATCTTAATTTACCAAGTATAGAAAATCTGAAAAAGAGAGAGGTCATTTTTTTCCTTTGCTTCCAAAAAGGCTTTTGAGAAACCAAAATGGAAAGATAACTACCATTATCATTTTTGAGATTTTCATGTAACTGTGTTAGGAATAGGAGTATGGTAATTTACACTTTCCTTTTACAGGCTTTCCAATCACCAATAAAATAAGACTTATCTCTGCCAAGATTGTAGCATAATTAAAATCAGTTTTGTTAATAAACTTTAGATGCATGACCCCTAGGATTTCCATCTTGACAAGTTGTATTTTTTTCTCTAGTTACTTTTTTGAGTGTTTGTTTTTAATTCTTGGTTTCATAAAATAAAAAGAAATAATCTTTGCTTCTGAATTGTTATTAAATAAGTTAATAAATAGTTGTAAAGCACTTAGTCCCTAGCACATGGTAGTACTTTATAGATGTTTGGTAAAGAATTCCATTTGCATAGTTGTATACACTACTGTTTTAGAGCTGAGGAAAAGAGATATTAAGGTAAATTCTGGTCTTTATTTCAAGTGTATATAGTGGTTTAAAAGCTTTCTCAGAATAGAATGTCTTTCTATCCTTGTGTATTTATTAGTTTATAATTAATATAAACTGACAAAAATGGGAAGGATATTTAAAACACATTCCTAGATTTTATGGGTATACCCTAAATTTCCATTGTTTGTACTATATTGCTTTTAGAGATACCGAGCTTAAAAAATCTTGGGGTCTCCCTCATTCTCTGAATCTAGTTTTTTGTCAAGTCTTTTAAAATATTTCTTATATTAATTTTAATTTTTCTTGTTATTCAGCTACCTTTAACAACTTAACTCAAGTTTTTAGGATTCTTCTCCTGGATTATTTCAGTTTTCTAGCCAGTCTTCTGTACAGTTTGTCTTCAAGTGCAGGTCTGAGCATGTCAGCACATAATTTAGATACCTTTTTTTGGGTCACAGTGTCCACAGGATAAAGTGTAAATTCTATCCTGGTTTTATTTTTTTGGCATAACTTTGCATTATCATTCATTTTACTAAATTCTAAGGTTCTGGAAGACCCTGTATGTTATTTTGAACTGTGTGTCCAAACTGTAGTCTTAAATGGACAACATGTTAACTAAGAAAGGTCACTATAGTAAATAGATCAGAAATGTTTTGCATAAATAGGAAAGAAAAATATCTTTTCTAGCTCTCATTTTTTTTCTGGGAATATTCTGTACATACTCAATGATAAAGAATAGTCAGCACTTCCCAGAAATGTAAAATGTTTATAAGCATAATTGACTTTCTGTTTCTCTTACTTCTACTAGTGGCATTTCATGTAATTTTTATCTCACCAGGTCAAGGCAAAACTTCAGCAAAATCCTTCAGAAAATATAGCTGGTAAAAAGCAAGAAGACACCAATTCTGTGAAGTCTAATAGCCAAGAAGTCACCATTTTCTCAGCTTCTCCTCTCCCTCAACCCAACAGGCATCAAGAAATCTGGTCTATACTAGAGAATGTTTGGAATACAATATATCAGAACAGGTACTTCATTTCCCAGAATTTTTTAATTTGAGGGCTTCTCATTTTCACTGTTATTCATTGAGCAGTTAGCATTTGGATTGTAAGTTTAACATACCAGATTTTCTTATTGAAGACCTGTTGTGATATTGCTATCATGGGAACACATGAGGATTACTAGAGTGTTCTATAAGTACTTGTGCTTAGGCTCTATCCCCAGCAATTCTGATTTACTAGGGGCAAGGTAAAGCAGTGATAATGATTTAAAAAATATCTCTTGATGATTCAGATGTGAAATCTTTCTACATTTTATTTATTTTACGTCATTGGTCATTTTTGTACAATGTATGCATAAATGCTTTCTCCTTTTAGTGTAGTCCCCATAAATTCGCACCACATTTCACCCGTGAGTCAGCACCATAGCCCCCTGTGCTCTCCCTCCCCTGCTTTGATCCCTCTACATCCCCTTCCCTTACAGAATGTCTCTGATTTATAGTTTCCTTGCTATTTTTTTTATGGTTATTTTTATTTTTCCTTCCTAATCATTATTTGCATACACTGCATCCCTCCTGTAAGTGAAACCATCCAATATTTCTCTTTTTTCTTCTGGCTTATTTCACTGAGTATACTCCCTTCTAGCTCCATCCATGTTGCTGTGAATGGCATGAGCTTATCTATTTTGATTGATCCAGCCATCTATTTTGGGGGTTTTGGATTGTTTCCATATCTTACTTACTGTAAATAGTGCTACAATAAACTAGGGTTGCAGAATCCTTTTAAATTAATGTTTTTGTGTCCTTTAGGTAGAATCTTAGGAGTAGAATTTCTGGGTCACATGTTAGCTCCATTTTTAGTAGTTTGAGGAACCTCTATACAGGTTTGCATACTGGTTGGAACAGTTTGCATTCCCATCAGCAGTGTAGGGGAGTTCCTTTTTCTCCACATCCTCACAAACTTTTGTTGTTGCCTGTCTTTTTGTGTATGTGTGTGCCATTCTCACTGGTGTAAGGTGATATCTCATTGTGGTTTTGATTTACATTTCCCTGATTATAAATGACATTGACATTTCTCATATACCTGTTAGCCATCTGCATTTCCTCACAGGAGAAGTGTCTTTTTTTTTTTTTAAAGATACTTTATTATTATTATTTTTTAAAGATATATTTATTCTTACAGAACTGGGGTATAGGCCAGAGATGCAGAGGGTGAAAGAATTCACCAGAGACAGAGTGGGGAGCAGAACAGACAGATCGATGAAGTACACTGCTGAGGGGAGCAGCGGGCGGGTCAGGAGAGGTCTGCCTCGCCATGTGGATCTCCTCCCGGGCAGGCGGGGATCGAACTCATGGTGGAAGTGGCTTAAGCTTCTTTGTGCAGTGCTTTAGCCGGCTGCACCACCAGGGAGGGCCAGGAAAAGTGTCTTTTTACTTTTGCCCATTTTTTGACTGGATTTTTTACTTTGTTTTTGTTAAATGGTGTGAGCTACTTGTGGATCTTTCTGATCAGCCCCTTATCACTAGTATTGTGTGTAAAAATGTTCTCCCAATCAGTAGGGCATCTCTGTTTTAATTAGTATTTCTTTAGCTGTACAGAAGCTTTTTAGTTTAATGTAATCCCAGTTGTTTATCTTTTCCTTCAATTTCTCTACTTTGGAGGATGTGTCTTTAAAGATATTACTGAAATGTATGTCGTTTAGAGTTTTGCCTATATTCTATAAATTTTATAGTTTTAGGTCTTATTTTCAATTCTTTTATCCATTTTGAGTTGGTTTTTGGTATGGTGTGACATAGTAGTTTTCTTTCTTTTGCATGTAGCAGTCTAGGTTTCCCAGCACCATTTATGAACAAACTATCATTGCATTTTCTTTGCCCCTTTGTCAAAGATTAATTTCTATAAGATGTGAGATAATGTCAATTCTTTCAATATATGAGCAAGGGATGTCTTTCCATTTCTTTGTGTCTTATTTCTTTTCATAATCTTTTATTATTTTCTTCCTATAGGTCTTTCACCTCTTTTGTTAGGGTTATACCTAAGTATTTGACTTTTTTGTTTCAGTTATAAAAGGGAAGGTTATCTTAATTTCTTTTTCAGATTGATTGTTTACATATTGGAAGGGTACCGATTTTTGTGATTTTATATCCTGCTACTTTACAAAACTGGTCTTTAGTTTTATTTTTCTGTGGTGCCTTCAGCTTTTTCTATGTGTATTATTAGCATATTGTCTGCAAATAGTGATAGTTTTACTCCTTTTTCCCTGTTGGATTCCTTCTGTGTGTTTCTGTTGTCTTACTGCTCTGGCTAGGACTTTCATTATTATATATTGAAAAGCAGTGGTGAGAGTGAACATCCATGCCTTGTTCCAAACCTTAAGGGAAAGGCTTTTAGCTTTTACCATAAATGTATGATGAACTTTGTCAAATGCTTTTTCAGCATCTATTGATAGGATCCTATGAATTTTCTTTTTGTTGATGTGTTGGATTACATTAATTGATTTTTTAGATATTGAACCGTCTTCATGCCCCTAGAATAAACCCCACTTGGTCATAGTATATTACTTTTTGATGCATTATTAGATTCTGTTGGCTAAGGTTTTGTTAAGGGTTTTTGCATCAGTGTTCATTAGAGAGGCTGCCCTGTGTTTTTCTTTATTTGTGCTGTCCCTGTGTGGTATTGGTATTAGTGTAATAACAGCTTCATAAAAGTATTTGATAGCATTCCTTCTTTCTCCATATTTTGAAAGAGTTTGTGTAAGAGGCACTAAATTTCTGAACATTCGGTAGAATTCACTTGTGAAGCCATCTGGTCCTGGGCTTTTGTTTTTGGGGAGCATTTTGATTATTGTTTCAGTTTCACTGTTTATAATTGGTCTGTTTAGGTGTTTTATTTCTTCCCTATCTAGCTTTGGATGATTGTATAATTCTAGGAATTTGTCTCTTCTACATTGTTGAACTTGTTTGTATATAACTATTCATAGTAATCTCTAATTAGCCTTCTGATTTCTGTTCAGTCTTTTGTAATTTCTCCTCTTTCATTTATGATCCTATTTGTGTTTTGTCCTGTTTTTCTTTATAAGCTTGACTGGAGTTTGTCTATTTTTTCAAAGAACCAACTTTTAGTTTTGATCTTTTGGATTTTGTAATTTCTATTTTATTTATTTCTGCTTTGATTTTTATTATTTCCTTTCTTATACTGTTTTTTTTAATTATTATTTTTCTAGTTCTTTGAGATATTTCTTTGAGTTCTTTCTTGTTTCTTGATGTGAGTCTGTATTGCTATATACTATGCTCTTATTACTGCTGTGTCTCATACACTGAAAAGTTGTGTCCTCATTGTCATTCATCTCAAGGTTTTTTTTTATTATTATTTCTTTGATCCCCTCATTAATCTAATGGTTGTCAGTCGTACAGGCTTCAATCTCCATGTAGTGGCAGGGTACCTTGCTTTCTTTTCGTGGTTTATATCTAGTTTGATGCATCTATGATCAAAGATCATTGCTATGATATTGATCTTAATGTATCTGTTGAGGTTTGTCTTGTATCCCAGTATGTGATTAGTCCTAAAGAATGATCTGTGTGCACTAGAGAAAATGCATATTCAGATTTTTTGGGGGTACAGTGTTTTTGAGATGTCTGTTAAGCCCATGGGATCTAGGTCCTTAGAGCTCTATTATCCTTGTTTATTTTTTGTCTCATTGATCTGTTCATTGATGAGAGTGGGTATTTAAGTCTCCTACTACATGTGTATTTTCTCTAGTATCTGTTTTCAAGCCTGATAGTAATTGTCTAATATATTTTGGTGCTCCTTCATTTGGTGAGTATATGTTGATGAGTGTTACGTCTTCTTGATCTATTTGTCCCTTAATCATAATGTATTGACCATCTATCTCTTTTTAGTTTGAAGCCTTTTTTAATTTGAAGTCTATTTTATCCAATACAAGAATAGTTGTTTCTGCTTTCTCTTTTGATCCCATCTGTTTGTAGAATTTTTTCCAACCTTTTACTTTTCAATATATGTTTATCTTCTGTGTTTTCTGTAGACAGCAGAAGGTTGGGTTCTATTTTTTAATCCAGTCTGCTACTCTGTGCCTTTTTATTGTTGAGTTTAGTACATTTACATTTAGAGTTAATACTGATACACTGGCATTCATACTTGGCATTTTATTTGCCATTTGTGATTCTTTTCTTTACCTTATTTTGTTCTTCATTTTCATTCCTTTGTTATTTTTGGTTTTAGGGTTTCTTGTAGTAATTTTTGGAGTGGTGGGTTAGTAGTAATAAATTTCTGGACATTCTGTTTGCCTGAGAAGGTCCTTATTTTTTCTTCATAGAGGAAGGAGAGCTTTTGGAGTAAAGTATTCTTAGTTGACATTTGTTGACTTGGACTTTTTAAAATATGTCACTCTAATCTCTTGTTTGTAGTGTTTGTTAGAAGTCTGGTGTCAGCCTGATTGATTTCCTTCATAGGTTATCTTTTTCTTTGCCCTCATCATTTTCATTATTTTTTCCTTGTCTTGGACTCTTAGAAACTTCACTAGTATGCACTTGCTCTTGGTTTCCTTTCATTATAATAATTTGGTATTCTTTTATTTCCTGAGTATGCATTTTCATTTTCATCTTCAATTTGGGAAGTTCTCTTCAATTATGTTCTTGACTAGCTTTCCTTGATCTCCCTCCTACCTTTGGAATTCCTATATTTCCTTTCCCTATGGTGTCAGAGAGTTCTTAAGAAAAGTGTTTATTTTTTTTTCCTTTGTACTTTTCTTTCTTTTTCTTTTTTGGTTTTTATGCCTGCATCTTCAAGAGTACTGATACATTCTTCCATCTTCTATTTTATTTTCATGGCTTTTCCTAGAATTCTTGAGCCCCTCCACTGGTTTTTGGATATCCCCCATTCCTTCAATTTCTTCTTTACGGATTCATTCTCATTTCTCAGTTCATTGTTTATATTTTTTCCCTTTCTGTATTTTCTCTTAACTTTTCAACTGTTTTCATTATAGCAATTCTGAATTCTCTTTCTGCCAGGTA